CATAAAGACTTCACTCAAACAGTTCACACTTTTATTTCAGGTTACACTCTTCCCTRAAGGACATGTTTTACAAAAGTCATGGAGAGAAAATATGAAGACACTTTCAATAGCAAACATTTGTGTATATTTTTGTGTACAATCATTGTTTTACTGAGGGTATTTGACAAATATTTACTCATGTATGCATTGCTGTTTGTTTGATACAGAATTCTCAAACGGCACCCCTTTTTTATGTAAGTTGCTATGTCAGTCCAAATTTTCTGTTTTGGAATAGAGGTCAAACCTGAAAATATTTTCTTTGTATTTTTACGATTCATCGATTAATTGAAAAGAGTAATTGAACAATTAATRGATTATTATGATAATCGTTAGTTGCAGTCCTAGTCGTCACATAAAATGATGAACAAGTGCTATAAAGACTTATTTACTGTCAGCTGTTTTGTTTTTAAGGCCAATGCTAAATGGCTAAGCTGCAAATAAAGTTAGCATTTTACTATTTGTTCAACAAGTCACAAAACACACAAATAAAAAACAGACATACAAGGTGACATACAGAAAAAACTAATGTGCTCACAGTGACAAAGCTTCAAGCTAATGCTAAGAGGCTAAAAAGCTAACAAAGCTACTGTTTTGTTATTTGTTGCTCCTACTGCATTTATGTGCTCAACTAGTCACTAAACACACAAAAATCACAGAGATTAATTTTGTGTTGAAAGATTTTCAGCTATTTATAACTACTCATACACCAAGGTGATGAATAGAAAATGGTAAACGGACTGAACGTTTTACTAAACCCCATGGGGACCCCAAAGCGCTTTACACTTCAGACATTCACACACAAAGGTGGTAAGCTACATTGTAGCCACAGCTGCCCTGGGGTACACTGACAGAGGCGGGACTTTTTTCAGCTATTAGATTTTTTTAAAAACACTTTGGAAGTTTGGGTGGAAAGGTTAGTTTCAAAGTGTAGGGTAACAACTAATGCTATTGAAGAACATTCACAACATTTCCCGCCAAAAATAGGCACTTTGCGATGACACAAGAAGGAAAAATAAAATAATGACAATCTAATCAAATCCTATGTATACAAAAACAACTTTGGATACTATTTGAAAATCTGCAGAACTTTCTTGGTGCTGTAATGCTGTCAAGGAAATACACCAAAAACAGGAAACAAGGCGCGGAGCATATGGATAATGCTTTAAAAGAATTAGCCTATTAGCTGCCTACAGGTAGCATCTCAAAATCTTTTTTTATTATTATCATTTATTTGTTTTTACTCTGAAACCCATTTAAAACAAAAAAGGGGCACTACATTTTGATTTTAGACTTGCTGGTAACTTCTAACTTAATTTACATAGATCAGAATGTCTTATATTAGATTTTTATCTTTCTTCAAACAAAAAAAGTGTGCAAAAAATGCCTGTAATAATACCTTATCTATTCTTAACACACTCATAACCTACAATATACTAAATGTTTGATAGAAACTGTATGGAAACTTGAATGACGGGGTTTTTCTGGTCAATGACTAACAGGCAGAAAGAACATGGCAATAAAGTTTTACACACCTGGTCCCACATCAGTTTTATGTGTAATGTTTCCCACCTGATATCCATCGTAAGCTGTAGGACTTTGGTTTCAGTGAGTTGTTGAAGACGTCCTGCAGGGTGAACGTTCTGATGTTTGTTTCCTCCTTCTCTGAGACACAGATTTAGACTGATAAGCAATAACTACATGTCACAGATACACTTTCACACAATGAAAAACATAATAAGGTAAAGGTACTTTATTTGTCATCAATGCATGTTCCCATACAATGATGWAATTTGTGCTCTGCATTTGACCCATTGCATATGAGAATCACCCAAGTGGAGCAGAGGGCAGCCATAAGTTAAAAAAAGGACACTAAATTTTGATTTTAGACTTGCTGGTAATTTCTAACTTAACTTACATAGATCAGAATGTCTTTTATTATATTTTTATCTTTCTTCAAACAAACAGAGCAATGATGTGATATGATAATGATAAACAGAATTGGTGTGTAATGATGAACCGAACAGAACATAAACACATAAATGCAGTGGTGGGCAGGTTACGCTAATCCGCTTATAATAGCAGAACTGATTTTTGTTTAGTAAATTAGCTTAGTCCCTACAGACCAATAAGCTTCTGCTAAATTAGGTTTTACCAACTTTAAGTCTGCTAACAGCTAACTTAACAAGCTAACGCCAACAAGTGTGTGTCAGTCCCACCAGTCTTCAGCTAGAAGGAGACAAAGACGTGAGACAGACTGAGAGATGGCCATTTTGGCTGTTATATTAGCTGTTAGCGTTCTAATTTGGACATGTTAGCGGTTTAGCGAAGCCATACATTTAGTTAGGAAACATGCTAGTGAAGCTAACTTGTTGGTTATCTGTGCCCACCTCTGCATACACTGCAGGAGAGATCACTGTTTGTGACCTAATCATTGATTAAACCTTGGTAAAAATGTTACCAAAGATCTCCTACAGTACTGTGTTATCTTTTAATGTTCAGAGTGTGTGTTTGTGATGACTCAGCTGCTATAAAATCACATTTTAAACTGGCTGAGCGATGTTTGATGCAGGCAGTAGGCTGTGGCGGCCATCTTGGATCAGGATGACTTCAAAAAGTAATCAGCTGAAGATATTTATCAGTTTAGAACAGGACAACATTAGAACAACTGGTGAGTGACCAAAGTTCGGCCCGCTTCACTCATCTCTGAAGCCTGAATCCCCGGTTTTCTACTTTAATAAGTTATTTTAGTTAAACATGATAGACATGTTTGGTATCTAGAGCAGGGGTGCCCAAACATTTTCCCTGAGAGGGCCAAAATTAAAATCAATCTGAGGGCCGCGGGCCAAATGCAATAATATAAAAAATGCTTAATACTTAAGTAAAGTTGTTTTATTTTTTATGATTAAGCTAGCAGCCAGTGTGGTTGCCCACATTCATTTTTTTTCCAGCTCATGGACATGGAGAAAATTCAACGTATGCTCAGGCAGCAAAGACTCATGGGACTTTTTATAATTTAAAATTTGAATATATGCGGTCTTATAAGGTGTGCAAATCTATATTTGGGCTTAAATCTAATCTAAATGTCTCTTGTAGTTACTTGTATTTTATATTTAATCTTACCATAATTACAATCTAATAACCAGGACAACTGCTGGTGGGCCAAATCAAATGGCTTGGCGGGCCAATATTGGCCCGCGGGCCCCACTTTGGGCACCTCTGATCTAGAGAAACACCAGAATCTTGTCTAGAAGCTGGTAAAAAACCATTTCTATGAACACTCAAGACAGTTAAAACTACAAGCAGTTGTCATCTACAGTCCTGCCAAATTTCATGTTGATCGGTGCAGCTGTTTTTGTGCTACGGTTGACCAAAAATCACTGAGAATACATAAATAAATAAATAAATAAATAAATAAATAAATAAATAAATAAATAAATAAATAAATAAATAAATAAATAAATAAACAGTACGGAAACAGTATGGCTCCCGCTTACGTGTGGGGGTCATAACAAAACTGGTTTAAAATTTCAGAAAAATCAGAGATGTCAAAATGATATTTGTGTTAAATAGGAGGCATAATGTGTTCTTTTCAGTTTTGATTTTGTTTTATTATCACTCATTTTATTAGCTAGGGTTCTGTTGTTGTATTCATGATTAAATAGAAAATTAATAACCTGTGTCAAAAGTAACAGATCTTTGTAATACTTGGTTTATTCACATAACGATCATAATTACTGGATGTTTGGCCTGCAGTAACTGTGGCCCCCAGAGTAATTTAGTTATATCCCTGGTTTTGGAGTTTCATCAAAAATACCCACTGGTTCATGAGATATTTTGCTAACAGGAAAGCAGCTCCCTTACTGCTAAATGCTTTCATCCAAAACGTGACACAATGAGTGGCTCTTGGAATATGTGTTGGGAATGACTATGACTGACATTTATTTCTGAAAATATTCATTAGCTGTGGCGGCCATCTTGAATCGGGATGACTCCCAAAGTTGATCAGTTGAAGGTGTTCATCCAGTCATTATTCTGCGTGAGTTTGATTAAAATCCACGCAGTGGTCCGTGAGATATTTTGCTAACAGACAAGACGAACTTCTCTGGAGTGGTGCCATTTTTGCGTCATGACGCTCGGTTCCACAGCGGCGCGCGTGCAGCGGAATCAGCTGTTCGACTCACCTCTCAGGAGGACGACCGTGGGCACCACGATCAGAACCACGACCACCGCCAAGGCGAAGACCCCGAAGAGGACCTTGCCGACAGAAACCTGTCCAGGGTTGAAGGAGCAGAGGGTTAGAAAGACCATCCTGCAGGAGGAACATGTGAGTGAATGAACTTTAACCCATCATCGACCGACCATTGTTTGTGAGCGATCAATACCCGCAGACACCGCATCGATCTGCGCGCGGACACCTCGCAGACACGCGCTGAAGTTCAACTTTGTCCCGGATCAAGTTCCAAAGGTGGGACAGTAAAATGTGCWGCGGACTAAAGTTCTCAGGAGGAAGAGCCTTCAGCGCGCAGCGGACCAATCATTAGACCAGAGCTGGTATTTTCTCCGTAAACAACCGTTTCCCCTCCGCGTTTTTATTTGTTTATTTTTTAACAAATCAAAGTTAAAGTGTTTAAAGTCCGGCCTGACAGAGAGTTTCACTTTCAGCTGGATGAAACATCAGATGTGTGCCGACAGGTGRCCCAGTCAACTGATGTAGCCTACAGGAACATATTTATTTTTATTGTTCTTACTTTAAGATACTTTAWATATGTTGGAGAAAAATATGGTTTATTGATGAAAATCAAACAAAACTAGACATTGGTTTTTACGATGTAAAAACAAGTGTCAGTTTGTGCCTGTCAAGTCAGCAGGTGTTTGTAAGTAAGGTAATTGTGTAACAATGTGAAGTTTGTAGTGATTTTTTTTGTTAAAGTTGCTGCAGCTGGGTTTTGAACCCAGATCTCCCACATGACATATGGAGGTAAATTTGTGTTTTTGTTATTCAATCAAACAAAAAGCATCATCAATCAAAAAAACTAATTTCAATCAAAAAAAATTTAAAAACAATCAAAACGTTTTTTGCAAAACAGAAACCTTTGGTTGAATCTCAAAGTTTTGGTTGACGCTTTAAGTTTTTGGTTGACTGTCTAAGTTTTTGGTTGAACTCAAAAAAGATTTGAACTCAGAAATCACAACCTAGGGTAGTGGCGCAGAGAGTAGAGAAGCCAAGCTTGTGATCAGAAGGTAGTCGGTTCGACTCCAGGTTGGCTTCCATGTTGTACGTGTGTTCACATGTGTGATAGGTTAAATGCAGAGAATTAAAAGAGACCTATTATGCAAAATACACTTTTTAAAGGTTTTTTTTTACTAAACTTTGGCAAATAGGCTTTAACAAGGCTTTAATAAGCTAAACAATGGAAGTACATGAGAAAACGTGCTCATAACGAACAAAAATAAAAAATTCTTTGTGTCCATATCAGTGGAGACCAACCTGGAGTCGAAGCGGCTACCTTCTGATCACAAGCTTGGCTTCTCTACTCTCTGCGCCACTCCCCTAGCTTGTGATTTCTGAGTTCAAATCTTTTTTGAGTTCAACCAAAAACTTCGACAGTCAACCAAAAACTTAAGACAGTCAACCAAAAATTTGAGATTCAACCAAAAGTTTCTGTTTTACAAAAAATGTTTTGATTTTTTTTTTTTTGATTGAAATT